TACAGTCCGTTGACAGTAATGACAGAACGCTTCATTCTGGCACTGGGCACCAAAGGGCACTCCACAGGGCACATATACCAACCTCCTTCTCTTCCATTCTGCTTTCTCATCCTCCTCTGGTATGGTGCACCAAACACCTCCTTCTCCACCAAACACCTCCTTCTCCGAACTTACGTCCTCCTCAACACCACCAGTTTTGGACTCTCTTCCACCACCTCCTCCTCCACTGCATACTATAGAGTTAGCCACACAATTCACACATTTTTTCCTCCTCTCCAACCAGGGACTAATGCTTTCATCCTCCTCTACCAAGCTCTACCTTCAGTAGCCACATCTTTCTTGGAAAAGCAGGTCTTAGACCTCCTACTTCTCCTCATGCACTTCATAGCAATGACATAGGGCTACTCCGTCTCTGCCAAGGTGTATGCACAAGAGGACCCCTTCTCCTCCAGTCAAATTGCTCCTCCTCCATTTTGCTTCTTCCTCCACCTTGGAGATGGCGCACCAAAGACCCCTCGTTCTCTGCTTTGTCCTCCTCTACAACAGCACCATTAGTGGACCCTCCTTCCCATGCGTTGTGCATCACAGAGTCAGACATGTTGATTCAAGTTCTCATCTTCTCTGACTAGGGCTGACATGGCTCCTCCTCCTGCACCAGGACTCAGCATATTGGAAGTGCTTCTGTTTTGAAAAAGTGCAGAGAGAAGTATCTCCACTTGAAAAACTTTTAAAATCCTTGCTGTGCCAGCCCCCTCTGTAATCTCAGCCACAGTGCTGTCTGTCATTGWAACATTGTTGTGATCCCAAATTTAAAGATAATTGAAAATAGCATCTAAATTAGCATATTGTAATTGAGGAGAGGCAGAATTAGTTCTGGCCAGAACAGTCCACCAGCTTTTCTTCTACTGCCATTGAGATGAAAGCCTTTCATTTCCTCCTCACTAGGAGGAGAGTGAGGAAGACTTTCACTGATCTTATTTTTCACCTCCCAAAGAGGTTAATGACTTGTCTTCATATGCTCCTCCCTCATCCCACCAACCTTCTCAGATAAGTGCCATAATCAGCTGGGCTCTACCTGTCTTTTACTGGTGGTTGAATGCCATGGACTAATAGGGTCCAGAAYGAGAAGAATTCAGCACATTGCCTTTTGCAGCCTGCTTCCCTAATAAAGACCCTAAAGCAAAGCCTTCAGCTCGGCTGAGGATCATATTTATCAACCTTGGGCCCTTTAATAATAAAAACTCACATCTTCTGGAGTATTTGCACAAGTTTGACCTAGTGCATAACCCTGCATACATGCTGAAGACCCTTTTGCACACTTGCAGATAAAGGAAATGAAAATGWTTGTCACCAGGATGTGTACTCAGCTAGTTCTGCCTCAGGACCTTCAGTCTAATTCCTGGTCAGCAGAGAAAAGGAGGTTTTGTCTAAAGGCTGGTGAAGGGCAAGGACTAAGAAAGCGGTGTTCTACATATTAGGACTCTGACAAGATAAAAGTGATAGCCAGTGGGAAGTAATAAGCCATCCCATTGCTAGCCCATGGAAGGGTTTGGCTATGTAAAATTGCTCAAAAGGAGGGAAGTTAGAGAAAAGCTGGGGCCTAAGAGTAATTTCGGCGTTACAGAATCCAGTGCTGCCAGTAAGGCCTATAGCTACCACAGGATTTGGTATCCCTATTAAGAGTTGAGTCTAACCAACCCCAGTCCCTCTAATCTCTGAGGATGAGCTGGAATGCAAGGAGATTCATCTCTTAGCAAATTTGGCCCCCACTTCAAATCACGACACTTGATACCCCATTATGATGATGGGGTATCAAAAAGAGTGGAAAAAAAGAAGTAAACCGTGAATTATTCTTTAGAAATTAATACATCATTGAAATGACTCTTTACTTCTTAAAAAGTATGCGAGAAGAATTCAGCACATTGCCTTATGAAAAAAGCCTTAAACACAAAACTAATATAAAGAACAACAATAAAGAAAAAAACTTCCAGGACTTACTGAATTTAGAGATCCGTGAATTTTTACAACATAACAAATAGCTACGATTTACCTAAGCTACAATTATTAGTTTCTGAGAAATCTCCTAAATACAGCAACTTCTGTGGTTCTGTGGTCCTTACAGGTGAGAAGAGCAATCTCAGTGAGATCTGTCTTCCTCTGTTCAGTTTTCTATTGTTAACATCAGTAACAGAACTAAAACTAGAGAACCATCAGTAACTAGAGTGTGCTGATCTACTAATATATGTATATGGACAAACACACACATATATACGTGTGTGTGCTCATGTTTTTATTGATGATGAAGAGCTGGTTATCAGCAAGCTCTTTCTGAGAGCAAATYGTGTCTCTTAGAGCTCTACTGTTGCATTTTGTGCTTGATTACTAAGCACTGCACAACCACAGCACCAGACATGAGCATAGCCTTAGTGAGGAGCATACAAATGACACTACTCAAAGTGTTTCAGAGGATCAACCCTGAGCAAACAAGGACATGTCAGATTTAGAAGGCGGTGAGGTAATTTATTTTTGGTAGAATAAAAATATTAAATTCCCCTAAAACCTCTAAAACGTGAAGGTGGAAATCTAAGTGACCTAAGAAAGTAGATTAACCTCCTCTATACTAAAAACAGAAAAGAAATCTTGTATTTTCCCCTGCATTTCCCATTTTTGCTACTTTAAGATAAAACATTCCCATTAACTATAAGGACTAAGCATTTGCTGTTCTAAAAACTGAGTCCATAAAATATTCAATTTAGAAAACAAGGTCAAATGTGTGACGAATATGAAAGCAAAACAAAGGTGCATTTTGCAGCATAATAATAAGCCTACACCTAAGCCTAATAATAAGTCTACACCTCAATTCTACATGTTCCTGTCAACCTATTCTTCTTCTTCTTCTTCTTCTTTTTTTTTTTTTTTTTTTTTTTATGAAGCTGGAGAGTTTTAGATTTTGTTGCCTACTTTGTTTGAGGTCTTTGATCCCTTTAAAATCAGAGGTAGAAACAGTAGCACAAATGCCAATCATTACACAAACGAGGACATATGCTGTTAAACAACTGTTCTTTTGCTCTTAGGATCTACGTGCTATCTTACTAAATGCTGTTATGGAAAGTGACTTAAAAACCAAACAGTATCAACAGAATATCACTTTCTTTAAATTCTCATATCTGTATATATTTTCAGCATCATGCAGGTTGGGCAGGGGAAGGGAAACCTCAAAGATTATGAATAAATAAGTAATTCACTYCCTTTAATCCAGGTCACATTTGAAAATAAGGCATCATTTGCATATAGGTTGTGGATGGTTTAGCAGAATATTACTCACTATTATACATATATTCTAGAAACAGGTATTATGTTCACAGGGAGTTGTAACCACAGGATTGAGTGTTACTATGTAACAGCCCACTGTTTTTAATGTCTTTATCTTGTATATAACAAGTTACTAGTGATGCATAAATACTTAGTTAACTGAGTAAACTAACTTTACACTCATAAGTCATTCATAAAAGGTTATTTTTGTTTATAGCCATTCATTGAAAGCTGGAGAATATGTGAACAGAAACATCTATTGCCACAGTAGTTTTAATGCCCTTTAAACATGCTATTAACTGACCAAAATACAAATTTGTTTGACTAGACAAAGTATTTACTAAATGTGAATGCCACAGTCAGGCCTCTTGGCTAAAATTAGACATATAACACTCCATTTTTATGATACTGCAGTAAAACACACACACCCAAAAAGTCTCTGATCAGTATGAGGTATATAAAAAAAAAACAGTATTTAAATTTGAGTGATTCAGTGGCATATAAAAATTGTTTGTTGTACACCTCCTTAATCTTCAGCTACTTCAAATGTCAAGGAAAGCAAGGAAACAGGAAAAAGGGCATCAGAAACAGTAACTCTTAAAACCTCTTAAAAGCATTTTATGATTCTGCCATCAGTTCAGATATTCTCCTCTAAAAACTAATGATGATACATGCCCTTAGCTAGGTAATTATATTTTGTTCTGCTAAGACAAATATATATATATATATATGTATATATATATATGTAAATTATATATATATATATTTCTCTTCTACAAAATAAAGCATGCTGGTGAGAGGCAGGCTGCAGATAACTGTATGAAAATGTAATTAATATATTGCATATTTAAAGAAAAAGTAAATTGACTCCCCAAATAAAATGGTAAAACCCTGACAACACTGACTGCAGAATGGGGCATATTTTATTACTTATTTTTTACGTTTTGATAAGCAAGCTGGTAAATATTGGAAGAAGTCTTGAAGAAGGTGTTGAAAAATGGCTGTCCGTGATTCAGAAAAAAATATCCTAGGATTTTGGAGAAAGACTTTCAAATGAAGGACATTTTTGGTCCAATATAATTCAATAGTTTGATCCAATACATTTGCTTGAATTAAAAACTAGGAAAATAACAGAAAGAATAAGTTCCAWCATCCATCCTTGTATCAGAATTAACCTCCAAACCATATCCAGACTTAGCAAAAGCCACTGAAACATATCCATTGTTAGGTCCGTTCTTCGAATCGGTAGAGAAGGACAAAACCACCATCGAGAGAGTCTCTCAGAGTCGTGGTTTATTTGGAAATAAGGTAAAGATAATAATACCAGCTAGCTGGGGTCYGGGCTCATCCCAYRCAGGKGTTCCGCCAACGGACCCCGTAGCATTCCAGCGCGAGCTTTTTATGCTAATTTTCATTGTTCTTATCTTCATGCTCCCATTCCTACTGACAGGGCACATAGCACTATCTTACGCGAATACAAGTGGTTTCTCGCAATGTCACGTTTCCATGAACTCAGTTACATCTTACATCTTGCAATGTCATGCTTTCATAAGCTCCAAGCATCCTGTTTAATCCTTCACTCCCCCCTTTTTCTTTTGTTCATTTGAGAGAATTCTTTCTCTGTTCATTTSGTAGTTGTCTTGAAAGCATTATGTGTACCGCCCCTATTTTTTTCCCTTGTAAACTGGACCAATTTGTTCAAAATTATTGGACCAAAAATTAACAATAAAAAGGGATCTTGTTTACTAGGTTTCCATTCCATAGCAATAGTCTCGCAACCCCAATATGCACAGAAATATTCTCCAGGCGCATTACAATAATTTTTCCCAGGATTATTACTTGGACAGAAATAATATGGCTTATCGATCCACATTCCAGTTCCATGTTGTGCCACTAAATCAAAAAGTTTTACCCCCTTAAACATGGGAGCTCCTGCAMTTATGTTAGTTTTAAGTATTCTAGGAGAGTCTAGGCTTACCAATGTCCACTTATAAGGCAGATGGGGACTCCAATTTTCCTTTCCTGTTATCCCCATTGTTCCYCACATCAACCAAAACATTATCCAATTTTGCATTTCTTCGCTGTAGATGGAGTCTCAGTGGGTTCTCTGGATCCCATCGAACCTGCCAATCTTGTTCCTGTACTTCGGTTTCCGATGCTTTCCTCACGTGGGAGTGRTGTATCCACGGTCCTAAACCATCAACTTTAACAGCGGTTGGAGTAGCGAGTATAACAACATATGGTCCTTTCCATCTACTTTCCAGGGTTTTAGGATTATGTCTTTTTACCCATACGCGTTCTCCTGGCTCAATCCCAATCTCCAAATCTTGCTTTTGATTTCCTTTATACCATTTTCGCAGTAAGGGGAATAATTCACCCTGTATTTCTTTCAAAGCCTGCACTTCCCGCCCTATTTCCGTAGTCCCTTTCCCGATCCTTCCTACACTTAATGGGTAGACTGGGGGAAGGGTTCCATACATTATTTCAAAAGGAGAAAATTCTAAAATATACGGAGTGACCCGAGACCTGTAAAGAGCAAATGGTAACATAGTAACCCWGTTTTGTCCAGTCTCTTTTACCAAYTTTGCTAGGGTTTCCTTAATTGTCCTATTCATTCTTTCAACCTGTCCTGAACTCTGGGGATTATAAATACAGTGTAACTTCCAATTTGTCCCCAAGGCTTCAGTTAATTCTTGAATAATCTTAGCTACAAAAGCCGGCCCATTATCTGACCCAATAGTTATGGGTATTCCATATCTTGGGATTATTTCTTCTAAAAGTACCTTTGCTACCACCTGYGCAGTTTCTCGTTTAGTAGGGAAAGCTTCTACCCATCCTGARAATGTATCTACCAATACCAACAAATATCGATACCCATATTTTCCTGGCCTTACTTCTGTAAAATCAATTTCCCAATGCCTTCCAGGTTCTCCACCTCTTTCCCTTATTCCTTTATGTACCTCCTTTATTCGAGACRGTTTCATTTCTTGGCAGGCCTGACACTTMTCCACTATTTCCTGTATCACCTTCCTCTGGCCTTGGAACTTCAACCCGAACTTATCAATCAGCATTCTCATCTTTTTCTCCCCAAAATGTGTTATATTATGTAGCTGTTGGGCTAATTCCTGTCCCAGTTTTCTGGATATTATCTTCTTCCCGTCAGCATCTCTGTATTCCCCTTCTTCACTTTTCTGACCTTTAATTCTTTTAATCCAYTCTTCCTCCTCGGRGGTATATGTCCTTTCTTCCACAGTATCATTTCTCACTATGGATGTGCTGGATGCACTGGTGGCTAGCATTACTGATGCTTGAGCCCTTAAGGCGGCTTCTTTCGCAGCGCTATCTGCAGTCGCATTCCCTTTACTTACTGGATCCATTTGTTTCTGATGTCCTGGGGTATGTACAATAGCTACTGCCTTGGGTTTCTGCAGGGCTGATAATAAACGCAAAACTTCTTCCTTATTCCGAATTTCCTTTCCTGCAGATGTTAAGAATCCCCTCTCTCRGTATATAGCTCCATGTATATGCACTGTCCCATATGCATATCTGCTGTCTGTATATATGGTCACTCTCTCATCCTCTGCCATCTCCAAAGCTTTGGCCAATGCTAAGAGTTCAGCTTTTTGGGCCGAGGTTCCAWCAGGCAATCTCTGGCTCCAGACAACCTCCCCCTTTTGGTCCACTACCGCCGCTCCAGCTCGCCTTCTTCCCTGTTCTATGAAACTGCTTCCATCTGTAAACCATACTTTTCCTCCCGTTAAGGGTTCATCCTTCAGATCYTCCCTGATAGTTATCACTTCCKATAACACCTCTTGACATATGTGCAACGGGGCTTCATAGTTCGGGTTAGGTAAGAGTGTTGCCGGGTTTAACACCACCGGTGAAGTATATTCAATTCTGTCTGGATTAAGGAGCAAGGCCTGGTAGTGAGTTAGCCTWGTATTCGATATCCACCTCTCAGGAGGCTGCTTGAGCAAAGCTTCTACATAAYGGGGWGTAGTCACCAACAGTTTTTGGCCAAATGTCAATTTGTCRGCATCYTTTACCATTAAGGCCACTGCCGCAATAATTCGAAGGCATGGTGGCCATCCAGCTGCAACTGGGTCCAATTTCTTTGAGAGATATGCCACCACTCTCTTCCAGGGACCTTGTCTCTGCGTTAACACTCCTTTAGCAACTCCGCCCTTCTCGCTYACATATAAGTGAARGTCTTTGGCTGGATCTGGAAGTGCAAGCGCAGGGGCCTTTAATAAGGTCAATCTCAGCTCCTCAAATGATTTCCTCATCTCCGCTGTCCATTGCCAATTTGGTCTTTCACGGCTGACCTCATATAAGGGCTTGGCTATTTCAGCAAACCCAGGTATCCACAATCGGCAGTACCCCACTGTCCCTAGGAACTCTCGAACCTCCCGGGGGTTCTTAGGTTCAGGTATACGAAGTATTGTCTCCTTCATGGCACCCGTTAGCCACCTTTTTCCTTTATATATTTTATACCCCAGGTAAGTAACTTCAGGGCTACATACTTGGGCTTTCTTTGCACTTACTCGATAGCCCAGCCTGTTTAACTCTTCAAGCAATCTTTTAGTTCCCTCTTCACATTCCACTTTCVTTTTAGCTCCCAGCAACAAATCATCAACATATTGGAGCAATATCAGCTTTGGATTCAGCTCCYGGAAATTGTTCAAATCTTCCTGCAATATCTCGTTAAATARCGTAGGGGAGTTCTTAAACCCTTGTGGCAARCGAGTCCAAGTCAATTGTCCCTTATACCMCTCCTCAGGGTCCTCCCATTCAAAGGCAAATATTATTTGGCTTTGCTCCGTGAGGGGGATAGTAAAAAATGCATCCTTCAAGTCTAAGACCRTATACCACTTCATATYGGGTGGCATCGAACTCAGTAAAGTATAGGGATTCGGGACGGTAGGATGTATATCCTCAACTCTCTTATTTACTTCCCTCAAGTCCTGGACCGGTCTGTAATCTCCTCCYGGCTTTTTCACTGGCAGTAAGGGAGTATTCCAAGGTGATTTGCATTTACGTAGTATACCTGCTTTCAACAGTCTCTTAATATGTTTAGCTATTCCATGTCGAGCTTCGGGGGTCATAGGGTACTGTTTCACCCTAATYGGAGATGCTSCAGGTTTCASTTCCACGACCAGAGGAATCTTTCCTTTTACCTCCCCTACTCCTGAATTTTCTGCCCATACTTCTGGGACTATCTTCATCCATTTTTGGGTTTCTGGCATTTCTCCCTCTTTCTCTTTTTCATATAGTCTATATTCATCTTCCAGTCTAATTAATATTTAATTAATCTTCCAGTCTCCATTAATCTTTACCCCGTCATTCTCAAAATGTATTTGCACTCYCAATTTGGTTAGGAGGTCCCAGCCCATCAGTGGTACAGGGCTCTAAGGTATGTACAAAAAGGAGTGCATTATCTGTCTATTTGCTACATCTACCCTCCTTTTCCACGAACTCAGTTACATCTTACATCTTACATCTTGCAATGTCATGCTTTCATAAGCTCCAAGCATCCTGTTTAACCCTTCACCATCTCATCTGGCCAGAGAAGAGATAAGAAATAGATGAGACGCACACCTGAATGGAAGATTTGTGTTCCTTCCATACATTCAAGACAAAAAAAGAAATCTGGGATAAATCATCAACATGCCAATTCTGTGTCTTGATTTGAAGTTGCAGTTCTGGAGCCAAATCTGCCTTAATGTGTACACATGAACTTAATCTAGAACTGCTTTCTTCTGACTCAGCCCACAGCACAAACTGTTAGGTTGAGAATACACAAGGCCAGGAGATGTGCTGAATGCAAGCTGAAAATCTGAGCTAAATAGTAGTAGAAATATAAGAGGGTCTATTTCCCACATTCTAGCAGTCACATCCTTCCACGGTATTGACATCTACATGGACAGTGCCTTTACCAGAATAGAGAGAGATGCAACTAGCTGATAGACTGGAGCAACAGTTAACTTATTGAAAAATACTAGAATTGGAGATATATATGTATATTTATGCCTCCACTTACCCTTTCAGGATGATAAAATGTAAAATCTTAGAAAATTGAGGGTTTATACTAGAAATGTCTTATTTTCTCTCTCCATGTTACTGATTCTTGTTATTTCCATACAGACAAAAAGCAAAAAAACAAAACCACAAAGAACTTGCAACCTTCCTATCCCTCCAAAATGTAAGCTGAGCATTTGTTCATGCAGCTAGCAATATCCTGATGACCTTCAGCACACAGTATAAGCCTAATCTGATTTAAAAGCTAGTGTGTAGCCTTGCTTAGATTGATGCAGATATAATCATTAGAATACTATTTAGTGACTGCACTGTGTTGCCTTCCAATGAGGTAAGCAGGTTTCCATTACATTTTTAGGGAAAATAACAATTTTTTTGAAAGTTGTATTCACCATTCAATGTTTTAACTGCTTGTTTTGATGGTAAAATGCCAAGGATTGTGAAATAAACAGAGCTGCAAAAGCATATTAGCTGACAATGAGTACTTACTGAGCAGGGCACATATGAGGAAAGCAAAGCACAATCAGATAATGCAGTTTTAGTGCAGGCTGCTCTGTGCTCTACTGGGTGCGGTGCTGGGTCAAATTCATTGTAAATGTAGCACCCTAATGATTTTATTATCAGTGAAGCTACCCCTGAGAATATCCAACTTATCGTCAAACACTGAAGAGCACGCACGGATGCAGCAGTGTGTAGATGAGCGCTGCAAGAAGCACCCCCAAACAAATCAAGTAATGCTGCCTAAACACGTTCGTAAAAATTCTATTTCAAGCTTTTGTCACCAGAGACTTTGAATTCACAGCAGCTCTGCTAATACCTTTTATTCTCCTAAAATGCAGGTGATAGAAGGAAAAAATGGAAGTAGCCTGCATGAGAAGGGCAAGACAGTTTTTTGTACGTCTCAGAAAATTTGTTCCAGCTGGGATCACAGTCAGAAGAGGGATGCTGACACTGTAGCAAAACCTAGGTGAGCTGCCAAGCCTGTATTCCTCTTTCCAGTTTTTGCATTTCTTGAGGATAAAACCTGTGTATCTTTCCCTACTCTTTTACAAACAAGCAAGTTTGTAAAATTTCCCAGTTTAGTGAATGCTCTCTACTTGGTCCTCCATCTACTAAACTTCAACAAACTCAACAAAGAGTGTTTAAACCTCCCATTTAGTTGCAGTGAGAGAAATATGTCCTTGTGGAGATCTAATCTGAATGATTCAACACAAAAACAGGACATTCGCTGTCTGAACTGAAGCAGATTGAAAGGGCCATGTGTGGCCAAAAGAAACAAAAATTTTCTGTAGCATAAAAGCTGTCTCAAGTATTATCCATGAGGGAAAAATATAGGCCACAGCTTTTCCTGATTCAGCATCACTAGTTTTAGCTTCTGGTGATAAGATTGGTAAGTGAATGATTCACCCTGATTGTAAATAAATCCTGCTAGAAGTTGCATCTGCTGCAAGGAATTCATGATCTGTAGGGTGAGTGTGCAAGTGTTAAGGATTCTTTAAAGCAAATACTGCTTTAATGCTAACATATGGTATAAATTATTTATTCTAGTATTTGTTTACTTAGAGTTGCACATGAGGCTTCTTTTCCAGCTGTATTTTTATTCTTCACTGAAATTTGTTGCAACTGAAGAACAAGCAACTGAACTGACAGCCCAAGCAAAAACAAACAAAAAACAAACAAAAAATTAATTTCAAAATGTAAATTAACTGGTAATGCAAAGAATGATAAGTCAATTAACCAAATTTTCAGAGAGAAATGTTTGGGTAGGGGTACTTTGAAAGCAAATTTGAATTTGCAACTAGATTTACATTGCATCTTGAAAGAAAAAAACTAAAAATCCCCTCAGGAAATGCCTATTTTATGATCACTCATAGCAGGCCAAGAATGTTAAAAGTTTGGAATGTCTTATCTTTTTCATATCATTTCTGAACCTCCATTATGATGACAATGTGTTTTATACTTTGTAATAAAGCTTTTGAGGGATGAATGGCAGGTGTTAACCTCTATGTACCTGGGCTAGAGAGGCTTGCATCTGGAACGCCTTTGAGATGATGACTAGAAGGCCCCTATCAGTAGCTTTCAGACACATAAAAATAGAAAACAAAATACAAGGCAAAAAGAAGAGCGGTAACTGTTTGACCCTGCTTCTACACAAAATGCCATCATTAAGAATTGTCATTGGGGGAGATTGTTGTTGGAGAAAATAATGCTGAGAAGTTTCCACAAAGGAAAAAAAAAAAAAAGAAAGAAAGGGGATTTTTAAACACAAGATTTCTTATAAATGGGATAGTAAAATATTATTGAAACCAACTTCACAAATAGCTTCTATCATTAAGTACAAAATCACTTCAAATGATCTTATGAGACAGACATGAATTTTATTTAGATTTAAGGTTCCTGATTCTCATAGAACAGCTTATTTTGAGTTTATGCCTTGAATATGCTTTTGTTTTAAAGGGCATATGTGTGCTCATGTACCCTTCATTAACTTATATTTGTTCACATACACATCATTCATTACATTTTAAATCATTATAGGCCATATAACACGWTTTGTCTAAGTCTCCAAAGGTTATTATTTTGCAACTGCATAAACATACTTAGAAACCTTATTCTTTAATTTTGTAATTTTGTTGTTTTTTTTTTKGGGGGGGTAGAGAGGGAGTTGTTTTTTTCTATGATATCCTCAAGTATGATAAAAACACACTGGGAGACAACAAAATTACATAATCTTCTTTCCAGCTAACAGATGACAGAAAGGAAAAGCAAGTGCCAGAAAAGGATGAGTAGTACAAAAATTAACGTGCAGTTTTGAGTGAGATGTTTTTCAAGATTGGTAGACGGGTACACAGACCCTCACAGACATCTGCTTTATTGGAGAGAAACTTCAGAGAGGATTCCTTCTCATGAATTTCCCTCTCCTTTACCAATCTGTTTTTGTTGTTGTTGTTGTTTTCTTTAACTGATCCTTTCTTGTTTGTAAGGTTTCAGATGCAAAAGCAGTTTGTTGATTTATTTCCCTTAATTCAGCTGTTAAAGTTGTACTTATTTTGTGGCAGCAAAATAAGCAGTGCAAAAAGCACTGACTAACATCAGCTAGTTCCTACTCAAAAAGCTGATGACACAACTGCAAGCCGAAGGGGAATATAGGGATGTACAAAGCCGGAGGAGACCACAAAGTGATGAGATATTAAACTGTTTTCTGTTTATTACCAATTCATCTTTAATTTATTTTCCTCTCAAATTTCAGCTCTCCAGTGGTTAGGTCTCCAATGTTTTTCAGTTTTCTGGCATTTCTCTAATATTCCTAGAGATGTATTAGTGTCTATGAAATGAATATTACAAGCCTGCTCAGCTATCCCAATCAATTTATATTAACCCTAAGAAACATGTTGCACATGATTTTAATTTTATGTAAACTATAATTTTATGCATTTAATTGCTTTTAAGAAATATTGAAAGAGAATTTCCATTCTCTTTATTCATACGAGTGGCTCAGAAGAAAATTTAAAAATATATATTCCTTTTGAAAACCATACAACATTAACTTGAAGTCAATGATATAAGTATATTGAGATACTAAGCCTGTTAAATAAATTAAAAACCATTAGCTTTATTACCTATAGTTGTAATGTATGTCAAGCAAATTTAAAGATGGATCTATCAAAAATTACTCATCAAAATTATTTAGCAGAAGAAAGGTTGCGAATTTTTATTCCTTGCCAGTGTATAGCCTATAAGCTATGGGTATGTTGTGTAGACATCTGTAAGGCTGCATCTACTTCACGGTTTCAATTGTAATTCCTCAGGCATAGTTTTCCTGCATTTGTTGGTCAAACAGCTTGTTGGATTGCAAACCCCTTCAGACCTGTCAAACAACAGGGTATTATTCAGTGACTCAGAAGTGTGCTTCTTGATAGACTTGCAATGATCTTCACTGTCAAAGGCAGCATGAAACAGAGCTTTACAGGATATTTCCAAAGACTACAATAAAAGCAGGGAAAAAATAAGGATATCTTAGTGGCTGGTTGTGTCACACAAACTTTTTCTGTCTAACGGGTATTGCAGCAGAGCTGATGTGTGTGACTGGAGTATTTTGTGCATACACAGAACTATAAATATTTGATGAGCATTTTTTTACTCTCTCCATCTTAATATATAGACTTCTCTCCCTAACTAATCAGGAGATGTCTTATATTTCTTCTATTTAAGAATAACGAAGGATAATATATCTGTAACAAACAAACAAAAAAGAGGAACGTGAAGAAAGGAGAAAGACATCACAATGATCACTGTGTCTGGTTCGTCTTTGGTGCATTGGGAAAACTCTGAGAAGTGTCAATACATAAGTTTTCCCTCACAATGATAATAGCAGAAGAGTGAGGATTCTTCAAATTCAGTGGGGTACCAGGACATTAGTATTTGTA